CATCCTTTCAATGATTAGAATCTGAATATGTACTTAGTTTATTCTATCTGAGATTCTAAAATTTCCAGAAAATTATTCCACTATTTCGCATTTTCTTCTTAAATTTGAATAAAATAGTTGTTGACATTAAATCCATTTCAATTAATTATATAGTTGTTTACTAGCCTCAAGGTATTTATTTATCAAAACAAAGTTAATTTTTACGAAGTAGAAGTAAATTTTAATTAATTCCGGCATTTAGTTGTTATTATTGCATAAATTAAATTAAATACTCAAAAAAGGAAAAAATATAGTTTCTGTCCTAATTCCAGTTTAATTAACAGTAATATCACTCCCAGTAGTCAATATAAAATTTAGAACGAATTTAGAATATTTGTAGTTGCTTCTTTTGTATTTTCTAGTTAATATTGGGAAAATTATCAATTAGTTGTTAAAATTGTATTTTAGGTGATAAAATTCGGGAAAAATTCCAGAAGGTGATATTTTAGTTCTACAATTTTATTTTGGCAGAATATTATTTTTGTTTAATTTTCGCTATTATACATGCTTAATTCCTTGTTAATGTTGAATTTATTCATTGTATTGTTAAATGAAAAAATGATGTTTATTAGCTAAATTTGTTTTGGGCATGAATTGACTAAAGGAATATGGATTGACTTGTTGACCAAAAATTAGGGATTAAAATTAATAATTTGGACTAGTTGTTTGAAATGATGAAATAGTAATTAATAATTGTTAGCCATATTCATTAATTAAATTCTTGGAAAATTATTTCTAACTTGTCTATGAGATTAGAAAATAATTTAAGCCAACCATATTCAAGCACATTAATAAGGCCTAGAAATAGGATAATTTAATGAAAGAGATTTACATCTTGTCTATGAGAGATAAATTCAATTGCTTAAATAATGAGTTTAACTAGTTAATGAATTTAGCTATTTTTATTAATTAAAATATTGGAGAATTATTTCTACCTTGTCTATGAGGTTAGAATTTAATTCAAGCCAACCATTTTGAACACATTAATGACACCTAGAAATAGGATAAATTAATGAAAATAGTTTGCATTCTTATCTATGAGGAAAGAAATTATTAGTCCAATTTTAGTTTTAATTTCCCTAATTACTAGGTCCAAGAATATATCCATCTCTAATTACTCAATTCATCGCCTTTATTTGCATCAATCCATTTAAGTTTAATATTATATTTTTTTTTCCTTTAGTTTATTTTTGAGCCATCATTAGTATTTGCACAATTTAATTTACTTTCTTTTCCAAAAAGTAGTTTAGAAAATCAATCAAAAGTTTTAATTTGGAAAGCTTCCAACGATTTGCGATAACCTGTGACTGGACTTAAAATCAAGAAGCTCCTCCGTCATTCCTCGAGAGACACGATACTCGGGGAAAAACCGAAAGGTTAGACTCCGTTTGACTACAACGCCGCGAAAGCGGTTATCATGTGGTAAGTGCTTATACCATCATACAAAAAGGAATAGAAAATGATATATGTACCTTAGGAGTGTCACTACTATGAGTTGAAGGTTGTTCTCCTAATGATGATTCGCCCATCTCTATTTGATTTAACCTACTCTCAATTTTATCCATACGTATCTTGAGGTTCCGATTTTTTTCATCCTTCTTACGTAGCTTGGCCTCTAGATCTGTGATGTATGCTGTTTTGTGGTCCTTGAAGTGTTTTCTCTTCACTCCACCTCCATAACCATAAACGTAGCCATGCAGTTGTGGCCCAAAATGTTTTTCAGCAATCTCAAGATTTGAAAGTGATGGATTGGACTTGACAGTCTTCACAATTTCATCCTATATATATATATATATATATATATATATATATATATGCAAGGTAAGAAAATAATAATCAGTTGAAACTATTGAAGTTTGTTATATAGTGATACCTACATATTTTTCATTTTCTTTTGTCCCGTGCAATTTTTCATTTTTGCTCTGCGTAAAAAAAAAAAAAGATCGCACCCAAGTCTGGTTCCTGTGAATCTTTACCTCCCTGTAAGTGACATGTAAAAATTATCAACAATAATTAATTTAAGAAAATACACATTATTGAAATAATAAGCACAATTCAAGTAGCATTGTTAAAGCTTTTATTACATTTTCAAATATGATTTCTCCGTGAGGCATACTTCCTGTGCGACGAGGCATTCCCATATCTGATGCAGAATTATTCTTAGAGTTCTGCTCACTCATTTTCTACATACATTCAAGTATAATAAACTATTTAGCTGAGAACGTAAACAATTTTTAATATTTAAACCCACTAATATAATACCTGAAACTCTGCAGTCATAAATTTCTTATGAACAAGCCATTTCCAATCCTCACCAAGAACACTTTTTGGAACATTATTTGTGGCTTCAGTGATATTTTTGTAAGGTTTTACAAAATTTACATTCAAAGATGACCTCCAAGCTGTCCACAATGTATGCATGTGCTCCAAGGTTTCATCACGATATAAATCAATGTTAGGATTGTCAAAGCATTCCTATACCATTTCAAAACACATCCATTTGTAAATCTGCTTGCAACAGTTATCAGCAACAATTCCAAGATCATCTTATCATTTCTAGACAAGTTTATATATAACTAAATTGGAATCAACTTAACAGATTTAACGTTAAAGAACCACGATTATAAGTGGCAGGCGAGACCTAAGCAGCAACCTGCTGGTGTTGACCGGGACACTAGTCACAAAGATGTGCAGTCGTGGAAAAGTCAGGTTATAGATAATAATCACATGGATGGAGCAATATTGCTACCTAACAAACCTTGTATATCCAAATAATGGCACCAAAAAGCAAGTGATAAAAATCTGTTCATATCATGAAACCAAATTCTAAAGAAATATAGGTCCATCCTCCTATTCAAGTATTTCTTTTTAAAATAGAAAAAAAGAAGTTCATATAACAATCTCAACAATTTTTGGATGTCATATCTTTGCCAAGAAAATTTGGCCTTTACCATCAGCCCTACAGACACAATTTCCATGATAAGGAAATAAAATATAAACCCCATCAAGCTGGTTAATCCCAGAATTGCAGCAATTACTGGGCATGGTCAACATGCTCATCTCTATGAGTGACCATTCAAGCACCACTAACAAGTCACTTGCAGCTGGTTCAATATAAAAGAGTAATCGCAAAGCGAGACCCACACACAATACAAACAAATTTACATGACATTTCATTTCTCAAATTATATTTAGAGGCAATTTATATTTTGATTTGACTCAAATTACATTTGAAAATACATGCGGTTACATAAGAATTTGCCGAAAGTTACATATCTTATATCGTGAGTTACATGTCAACTTTTCGTAACAAGTTATATCATGTTTACACTTGATTTACATTTTCCAAAATGCGTGTTACATTACAATATAATGCGAGTTACATAACCCAATAAACACCTGCTATTCAAATAAATATTATGTTTATAAAAAAATTATTTTTATAGCTCTGACATTAAAAACAAAACATATACACTATTCATGCAAAATATTTGGGCTATTAGACTCTTTTTCTCCATTGAAATCAATATTTTATTTTCTATATCATGTATTAGACAAGTTACATTTCGAATATACTTGAATTACATTCATCAATAACGTGAGTTACATTTCGTTACACGTGAGTTACATCATTATGCTACTGGAAGTCTAGAACAAGGGAAAAAGTACTATTCACGCGTTTATTGTTCACGCGGTTTTTTATATTTTAAATTGATTAAAACTACGTCGTTTTGGACTGGGAGCACGGTGCTCACCGTGGGATGATCCCAGGGTATACAAACTGTTAATATTAGATCTGATGTGTAAATTTAATACACATGGCAAGCATTGAATGGGCCATTTGGACTAGGTATTGTACCCTCAAGAATATCAAAGGTACCGAAGCAGTTCGTATAAGGTGCAACCGATCCACCATGAGCATCATGCTCCTGAGCCTAAAATGACCTCGTTTGAAGCATGTTGAAAAATCGTGTGTTACTGTTCACAAGCGTGAACAGTAACTTTTTTTTTTCATTATCCAGGAGTAGAATGATGTAACTTGTGTGTAATGAAATGTAACTCGTGTTGTTACAAATGTAACTTCAGTTAACAACAAATGTAACTTGTGCCCAGAAATGTAACTCATGTTTAATGAAAAAAAGGAGTCTAATTGTCCAATTATTTTACATAAATAGTGTATATGTTTTGTTTTTAATATCAAGGTTATAAAAATGATTTTTTATAAAAATAATTTTTATTTGAATAGCATGGGCTTATTGGGTTGTGTAACTTGCATTATATTGTGGTGTAACACGCGTTATGGAAAATGTAAATCAAATGTAAACAAGATGTAACTTGATAAGAAAAGTCGACATGTAACTCACGATGAAAGATATGTAACTTTAGACAAATCCTAATGTAAGTTGAGTGTGCGCAAAGTGTAAGTTGAGTAAGTTCTAAAATAATTTATAGGGATCATCTTCAACATGTAAAAATATATTATAGAAAAAATTAATGTGATCATGTTTTTCATATTTTAATAAATAAAGGAGATCAATGGAATTGAAGAAAAATAGAAAAGAAAACAAGAAACATAAAGCAACAAAAAACGATGGAAGGGGAAGTTGGGAAAAGTCTGTGGTAGGTGGAAGCTTTTTAGTATGAGACGGAAGTAGTGCGGTGAGGAAGTAAGGTTTGAGAAGCTTTTTACTTGGTGGTGGGTGGAAGTAATACTCCCTCCGTCCCGTTGGAATGTTCTCGCTTTCCTTTTTTAGACGTCCCGTTGGAAAGTTCCTCTTTCCCTAAATGGAAAGTTATCCTACATCAAAACAGTGTCAAACAGTGCAAAACAGTGTCGAAACAGTGCCAAACAGTGTCGAAATAGTGTCAAAACAGTAAAATTTACCCCTGGTAAGTTTATTTCCTTAATATGTGTGTATGTCAAACCGGGAACATTCCAACTGGACGGAGGGAGTATGAATCATGATTTCAACAATTGGCTTGGAATGATCGAGGAAGTAGTGCATCGAACGATGGCGGAGAAAAAAAACGAGATGGGGAAGAACAGTAGCCGACTAAAAGAAGAACAAAATATTTGAGAAACGCGGTGTCATTTTGGGTACCGATATACCATCTGCATGGTATACCGGTACGGTATAATTTGCCGTACCTAAGCAGGCACCTAGATATACTCAGTCACTCGGTATACATACATCCACAAGTATTCAAACTTCTCAGAAAGTCAGAAGTACTACGTATTTCTTTTCTTCTTTGAACATGGGGAAACTTTTCTACTACTTTCTTGCTGTTATAGCAGCATATCTTCTCCTTCTTCTCAGAAAACTTCTTCCCAAGCGCAATAAAAAACTGCTGCCTCCTAGCCCACTCGCTCTTCCGGTAATCGGTCACCTCTACCTTATCCGAGATGCTCTGCACCACTCCCTCGCTTCCTTATCAGCTAAATACGGCCCTGTTTTACTCCTCCGGTTCGGTTGCCGGTCCGTCGTGGTCGTCTCTTCCCCTTCCGCCATCGAAGAATGCTTCACCAAGAACGATATCGTGTTCGCGAACCGGCCGGCGACCATGGCCGGCGACCGGCTGACTTACAACTACACCGCCTTCGTGTTCGCCCCGTACGGCCACCTCTGGAGGGTTCAACGGCGATTCGCCGTCGTGGAACTGTTTTCCACGACGAGCCTCCAAAGATCATCTGTCTTAAGGGAAGAAGAGGTTCGAATTCTGGTCCGATCTTTGCGCACCCTTTCGGCCGGTAATCATACCGGAAGAACGTCCGTTGACTTGAATAGCTTGGCGGCGACGTTGACTTTCAACGCTATGATGAGACTCGTGGCCGGAAAACGGTGGGTGGAGGAAGAAGACGTGGGGAGGGCGAGAGGGAGGGAAATCATTAAAGAACTCAGGGGAATTTTCTTTGCGAGTTTAGCTGTCATGAATGCGTGTGATTTCTTCCCGGTTCTGAGGTTAATTGGTTTCAGAGGGATGGAGAAGAAGCTGATCATGTTTCATAAGAAGAGAGACGAGTTCCTGAATGGCATGCTGGAAGAATTCAGACAGAAGAGGTCTCTGTTTTCGGAATCCGACGGTGGGAAGAAGAACAGGGACGACGATAAATCAACAATTATTGGAACGTTGTTATCTCTACAAGAATCGGAGCCTGAATTTTACACCGATGATGTGATCAAGAGTACTATACTGGTTGGTTTGTCTCCCCTATTCTTTACGAATATTTCATTGCATAAAAGCTTTGTCATTTCTTGAAAAAAGTGTTTCCCTTGGCAAATTGATTGTACTTTTTTTGAATAAGAATTTGCACCAAAGTATCAAGAATAACTTCAATAAATTATTTAAAAAGAGAAAATTCTTTAAAAAAGAAAATTCTTTAAATTGAACTACAACAATGATAAACTTTTTAAATAAAACCATTACTCTGGGTATTCTTTTATTCTTAAAATAGAACTCTTTGACTCCTATTTTGGGAAGGACTACATAAGTCTTATTTGGTGAATACAGATGTATTTATTTGGATTGAAATTTGTTGGTTTGGTCTGTTTAAGTCTGGTTTGATATGATATTGAAAACAATCTAAACAAAAACATCCTAAAAACTTTGTGTAATTTTAATCCTATATTGAGCGATGGGAAAAGTTATTCTTTAACTCTTTTCCTAAATGATCTTATCTCCCCTTTATTATCTTTCATTTATCCTATCTAAATAGTCTAAATAAAATACGGAGTATATCACAATTTTCAATTTCTTTTGAAATAATGCATCTAAGGAGAATTAAAGGGGAAATATTTGTTTTTTTAAACCTTCATATTTTATTATTTTAGTATTGGTATACCCCTTCAGTCCATATATAGGGTCCCTCAGTTCCTATGCCTTTCGAACGTTTTTGTAATGTACAATTTTAGGGTGTTAAAGATTGTTTACAAATCTGGAAGTATGAGAATCTAGACGGAAAAGGAGTAAATTAAAGAACACTCTAACGAACTAAACATCAATGTTTAGTTCAGGATTCGAACTATAACGTGTTAAGGTGTTAATGTGAAGAACTTTAAAAAAAAGGTGTTAATGTGAAGAACATGCAATGGATGCACTAATAGATATTCTAAATTTGGAAGAGTGGGCAAGTAACTCCAAATTGACCAACGAAATAAATAAACTAGGGATTCTTAACAAAGATAGCAGAGGAAGAGATAATGTTTAGGATTTGCAGGATTCGTCACTTTCTGTTGATGGGTGTGGTGGGCTTTTTTCAAAGAGACAAAAAGTGAAACCTGGCACTTATCCACATCGGGAGAGGTGAATTAAGCTTCGTCATCTATTATTCTAGCCACAAGTAATCTTTGTACTCAAGTTCAAAGGTTGTATATGAAATACTACGGGTACTACATTGTCTCAATGTCCTTTTTTGTGCACATAATTCACTTAGTAGTCACCTAAAACTCTAAAAGACTAAACTATGTATTTGAAAATGTTTCTTTAGGCTTTCAATTTAATTTTTGAATATGTTAATTTTAAGTAGTAAAACAGATTCAATTCTCTGCAAGATGATTTAACTTTGTTGTTAGTCAACCTTATAAATGGAAGTTGTACTAATAATGTTTCATTGTCAACAGAGTACCTAGGATCAATAAAACAATAAAGACTTAACCCTTAACTTCATTTATATTGAATGAGTCATATACTACATACGTATTTAGAAAAAATAGTACTATTTGAGAACGTGCCATGTTGAGCTTCTATCTAATGAGTTTTCTCAATTATGAATGATTATTACATGATCATTATCCTAATTAAGCACATTCCTAACATGCTAACAATGCTTCTTTGATGTGTCAGATGATGTTTGTGGCAGGAACAGAGACGTCTTCAGCAACCATAGAATGGGCAATGTCATTGCTGCTAGCTAATCCAGAGGTGATGCAGAAGTTGAGATCAGAGATAGACAACTACATCGGACCCGATCAACGTCTCGTAAATGAGTTGGACATTCCCAAGCTCCCATATCTACGAGGAGTAGTGAAGGAGACATTGAGGTTATACCCTCCCGCGCCACTTCTCTTACCACATTGTTCAACCGAAGATTGTGTGGTTGCGGGATACGACGTTCCCAAGAATACAATCTTATTGGTAAATGTTTGGGGCATGCATCGGGATCCAACGGTGTGGGAGGAGCCCGAAAAGTTCATGCCTGAGAGATTCGGAGGAGCAGCGGAGGAGAAGGAAGGATTCAACTACAAATTTGTTCCCTTCGGGTTGGGGCGAAGGGCCTGCCCTGGAAACAATATGGGATTGAGAACTGTCGGGGTGGCATTGGCGACTTTGGTTCAATGTTTTCATTGGGAAATCAGTACGGAGAAAGATGACAGAGGCGAAAGCCGCTCAGCCTCAATCCTGCAGAGGGCTAAGCCGCTAGAAGCCGTGTGTATGCCTCGAGCCAATTGCCTTCCATTTCTAGACTAGATGCTTGCAACTGCAATTCTACATATGTTTAGTTGTTACTCCGTATTTAATTATGTCAGGTCCGAGTGTGAGGCGTCACAATTAGCCACTCTACCTTTTTGGGTTGAGTGCTTTTAATTTGTGTGCTAATGTGCCATATATGTTTTCCTTTTGTTATGGTAATCTCTGGCGCTCTCACCATTTTGGCCGAAGTATTACTCCGTATCCTATATTTTTTCCTATTTCAAAATCTATGGAATTACATTGGAAAAACTGTCAAATAGGTCCTCGAACTTTCATAAAAAGGTCAATTAAATCCTTCTATAGGAGGTTCTGTCCAGCCGTCGTGATTTGGGGCAGTTCTTGGTGGAATTTTTTGATGAAATTTTTGGAGCATCTTAATCACCAAGTCTAGTTTACTCATACCAAATTTCAGCTAAAAATTCAATCGGGAACACATTCAAATTAATTCTTGAAGATAACTGCGCATTTTTGCGTTCTCGAATTAATTTGAATGCGCTCCCGATTAAATTTTTAGCTGAAATTTGGTATGAGTAAATCAGGCTTGATGAATAAGATGCTCAAAATATTTCATCAAAAAATTCCACCGGGAACCGCCCCAAATTGCGAAGACCGGACAAAGTCTCCTATAGAATGACTTAATTGACTTTTTTTATGAAAGTTCAAGGACTTATTTGACAATTTTCCCAATTACATTTAACCTTGATGAGATCCACGTACTTCGAGGGTACCATGTCCGTTGAATGATAGAGGAGCTAGCAAGCTTGAGTTAGCCACCAAATTAAACCACCCCTGCTTTCAACGAGGGTGGATAGAGGCCGAGCATGATGCTTTAAGAAACATGACATCGAGTCTCAACACCGCCCGGACAACACAAACTCTATGCACTTTTACATAGAAGCCTCTCAATGCAACTGTCAAGATCCGATCTACCTGATGAATTTTTTTGAAAGGATCTACCGGGTGAGTTACGTCTACCAGCCAGCGCGATACTTCACTTCACTTGCTTAGACGAGGCCATACTTCCATTAAAATTTACTTGTAAGCTAGTTTTGTTGTATGGAGTCTACAAAGAATTACCTAAAATATGACTACTTTTCATCTAGATGCAAAATAAATAATACCTAAAATATGATCATATTAAAATATGAATAGTGCATAAAAATGTGATTTAATAATTTTAAATGACAATGTTCATGTTAAAACTTTACATCACATCAAAGTGACTACAACATATGTACAAAATCACATTTTTCTAGTACCCCTTATCTTTTACGTTTTTTAGAAAATATGAATACTTCTCTAAATGAATTTTACAGGAGTTTTAATTTCATTTATCATCTATTCAGTGCCGGTCCTACCTAAATTCGGGCCTGAGTCAAGCTTCATAAAATGGGCCCTGTGCCTAGTAATTTTATTCATTAAAATTTAATGATTAAATATCACAAAATCACAATTCTTAAATAAAATTCTTACACCGTAACAATGTAATGTTACAGTTTATAAAAGTCTTACACTTTAACAATGTAATGTTACGTTTTGTGAGGATGTACTTACTACTTTCCGAAGTGGCTGTTTTATTCGAAATCAAGTTCTTATTAATGTCTCCCGCCTGACTTTGAATTAATGATTCAATACGTGATTTCCTTTTCCTCTTTTGAAATCATTAAAATATATAATTTATTGAAATCCTTAGCAATATATACTAGTAATTTTCTCTACAATTCTACAAATACATAGTATATAATTTGATTAATTGTGAATTGAGAATTCCATAATTGCAATATTGATAAACATAAAGAAAAAACAACAACAATCAACTAGCATTTAAAAATTTACATATTAACACATTACACATTCACACATGAAAAATAAATTAATCAATTATACATCACATTTAACATTTAGCAAATCAATATAAAGTTAGAAAATTTCTGAAAATACATAGGAATAGGTATAATAGTAAAGTAAGAAAAAATGAGCCCCTATTTTTTTCAGTTTTTTGGGGCCATAAGGCACGGGACTGCATCTATTGCCTTTGTCACATTCAAAGATTTCTATTCAGTACATCTTGATCAACGTAAAATCTTCTTTATCATTAACTTTATATATTCAACTTTCATCAAATTTTAGTTTTTTACGACTTTATAAAAAAATCTATTTACGTACAAGAATTAGTTAATTTTGAGAACCGTCGAATATAATAAGGAAAATGCTATGTGTACACAGCATTGTACACACCACCCTACACATCATAAAAAGACCCACCCCTTCTTTCTAACCCACCCCACTTTTGAATTAATCCACCCCACTCCCTTTCTCCTCTCCCCTTTATTCCCAAACGAAAATGCCTGTGCAGATAACAAATTGTATGTCCAATTTTTTTCATTTGTTTGTCATCCCTTATCTCTCTCAACGAGCGGCAGGAAGCGAGTAAGACGTATGGCGGCGGCGACGACGCGAACTTGGCCTGGGCTGGAATCAAGGGAGGATATATTCGGGCCGAGTCCCGGGGACACGCCATCTGCGATGGAAGCTTTCTCCCTGCCCTTTCTATGCGGTAAGCTCTCCTTCTCCCTTTCTTTATTTTCTTTTCATTCTTCTGCAACAGCTCCTCTCTTTTTCCCTCTTTTTTTTTTCATTCTTCTCCAACTCCACATCCATTCAATTTGTATTCAACTATACTTTTTCATTTTTATGCCTCTAAGATGTTTGTTGAAATGCTCAAATGAACTCTTTTATTTATAACCATGATTTTTTTTGTATTCTTTCTCTTTTTCTAAAAATATATTTGTATGCTTGATGGGTTTGTGCCTATAAGGTGTTTGTTGAAATGTTTCAATGAAATATTTCATTCATATCCATGAATTTTTTTGTGTTTTTCTCTTTTTTTGTTAATGTGTTTGTGTTTGATCTTGGTTTAACTGTTTTTGACTATTTAATTGAATATTATGATTCTTTGTTTGTTATTAAGATACTAGTCTACTAAGTGTTGTTAATATTTTCCACAGATGTCTGTGTAGTGTGTTCTTATATGTTTGTCCATTTTTAGTTGTCTATATAGTTTTCCTGAAATGTCTGTGTAGTTTGTTGTTATACGTTTGTGGATTTTCTAGTTGTTTTTATGGTTTTCCGGAGATGTTTGTATAGTGTGTTGTTATATGTTTGTGCATTTATTAGTTGTATATATAGTTTTCCTGAAATGTCTGTGTAATTTTCTGGAGATGCTATGGTCCACACATAAAGCTGCCGATGGTGTATTACTCTTGTTGATGCGTTCTTGAGAAGTTGGAGCAGTGACGTTCAGTTATGACATTTTCTGTCATGAGGAGGATAATCCTTGCCACCAAAAGAAAACAAATGTCTCCAGGAAATATGGTCAAAATCAATAGGAAGCTCAAAAAAGACATGATGATGAAGGATCAAAATCAGTAAATGAGTTCAAATGGTGGTGTATGTTTTAGCTTTGAAAATGAGTTCAAATGGTGGTGTATGTTTAGCTTTGAAAATGAGTAATGTTGTGTTGTAATATTGGTAGCTGTTTATAATTAAAATATGTGATTTGTTACAGAAAACGTCTATGTGGTATATAAATGTTGGCTTCTTATATCTTTACCGATGTTAAATGTATTAAATTAGGCGGGTGAAATTTCATAAACAATACATGTCCAAGATGGTTGCTTGTGCAAAGAACAAGTCAATTGATTTTGATTTAATATTACCAATTTTGATTTTTAATATGCAGGTCATATTGTTTGTGTCTAGACAATATTTATGCTTGAGCACACAAGGATTTTTTTTTTTTTTGTTACAATCAACTATTGTTTGGTCACAGACAATATAAATTACATACAAACAATGATTAAATATGCACATACAAACAATTATTTACTATGCACAGATAAAATAAATAATAATTCAATCACACATAGACAAAATAAATAATAATTCAATCACACACAAACAAAATAAATAAACACATAAACAGTAATTATTGTTTGTACACAGACAAAACTTATATAGAAATTGTTAGTACACAGACAAAATTTGTATAAAAATTATTTATGTACAGTCAAAATTTAACTTGTATAAATATTATTATCTATACACAAACACTTGGTCAAAGCTTATCTTTGCAAATACACTTAGAGTACTGATATGCGACATTATAATTACATTTGTATCATTAACTATATGAGAAATTGAATACTAAATCACAAATATGGTAACTGAACGTCATTGCTCCAACTTCTCAAGAACGCATCAACAAGAGTAATACACCATTGGCAGAACCATAGCATGCAATTTCTCTATTTATGTCTGAGTTATAATTCTTCATGTGTTTCTTCTATTTGGCTATGGTCCAAATGCACCCCTAAAATGTTGTTCCTGCATTTACTTTCAATAAAAGATGAAGATATCAGTTGGAGTACATACATAAAAAAACTCAGAAAAAGAATTTCAGATTTCTATGCAAAATGTAAAAAAAAAAGCACAAACGTATAACAACAAACTACATAGACATTTCAGGAAAACTATATAGACAACTAATAAATGCACAAACATATAACAACACACTATACAAACATCTCCGGAAAACCATAAAAACAACTAGAAAATCCACAAACGTATAACAACAAACTACACAGACATTTCAGGAAAACTATATAGACAACTAAAAAATGGACAAACATATAAGAACACACTACACAGACATCTCTGGAAAATATTAACAACACTTAGTAGACTAGTATCTTAATAACAAACAAAGAATCATAATATTCAATTAAATAGTCAAAAACAGTTAAACCAAGATCAAACACAAACACATTAACAGAAAAAAGAGAAAAACACAAAAAATTCATGGATATGAATGAAATATTTCATTGAAACATTTCAACAAACACCTTATAGGCACAAACCCATCAAGCATACAAATATATTTTTAGAAAAAGAGAAAGAATACAAAAAAATCATGGTTATAAATAAAAGAGTTCATTTGAGCATTTCAACAAACATCTTAGAGGCATAAAAATGAAAAAGTATAGTTGAATAAAAATTGAATGGATGTGGAGTTGGAGAAGAATGAAAAAAAAGAGGGAAAAAGAGAGGAGCTGTTGCAGAAGAATGAAAAGAAAATAAAGAAAGGGAAAAGGAGAGCTTACCGCATAGAAAGGGCAGGGAGAAAGCTTCCATCGCAGATGGTGTGTCCCCGGGACTCGACCCAAATATATTCTCCCTTGATTCCAGCCC